GGGGCAACTAAAACCTCATGGGAAGGGGGGTGTTCCGGTCCGTCCTTCACGCCCTACCGAGGTCACCAGTTGCCCCCCACGAGCGGTTCTCCAGCACGGCCACAGCCCCAGAAGCACAAGGACTTAATGCAGAACCCGGCAGCTTGGAGCAGAAAAGTGAACGGACTATGCGTTAATCCAGGCCATCAAGTCTGTCGGAGGGGAAAGGGTGTTGCCCCATTCGCCCTCTCTTCTCTGGAAAGAAAGATGGCGGCTGCATGGGAGCCTTGTGGACAGCAGGTATGAGCCGGGGGAGTGGGGGCGACTAAAACCTCATGGGAAGGGGGACGTTCCGGTCCGTCCTTCACGTCCTACTGAGGTCACCAGTTGCCCCCCGCGAGTGGCACTCCAGCACGGCCTCGGCCCCAGAAACACAAGGACTTAATGCAGAACCCGACAGCTTGGAGCAGAAAAGTGAACGGACTATGCGTTGATCCAGGCCATCAGGTCTGTCCAGAGGGGAAAGGGTGTTGCCCCATTCGCCCTCTCCTCTCTGGAAAGAAAGATGGCGGCCACATGGGAGCCTTGTGGACAGCAGGCATGAGCCGGGGGAGTGGGGGCGACTAAAACCTCATGGGAAGGGGGACGTTCCGGTCCGTCCTTCACGTCCTACTGAGGTCACCAGTTGCCCCCCGCCAGCAGCTCTCCAGCATGGCCACAGCCCCATAAGCACAAGGACTTAATGCAGAACCCGGCAGCTTGGAGCAGAAAAGTGAACGGACTATGCGTTGATCCAGGCCATCAGGTCTGTCCGGAGGGGAAAGGGTGTTGCCCCAGTCGCCTTCTCCTCTCTGGAAAGAAAGATGGCGGCCGCATGGGAGCCTTGTGGACAGCAGGTATGAGCCGGGGGTGTGGGGGCGACTAAAACCTCATGGGAAGGGGGGCGTTTTGGTCCGCGCTTCACGCCCTACCGAGGTCACCAGTTGCCCCCCTATGAGCGGCTCTCCAGCACGGCCACAGCCCCAGAAGCACAAGGACTTAATGCAGAACCCAGCAGCTTGGAGCAGAAAAGTGAAAGGACTATGCGTTAATCCAGGCCATCATGTCTGCCCAGAGGGGAAAGGGTGTTGGTCCCTTCTGCCCTCCTCCCTCTGGAAAGAAAGATGGCGGCCACATGGGAGCCTTGTGGACAGCAGGTATGAGCCGGGGATGTGGGGGCGACTAAAACCTCATGGGAAGGGGGGCGTTCCGGTCCGTCCTTCACGCCCTACCGAGGTCACCAGTTGCCCCCCGCGAACAGCTCTCCAGCACGGCCACGGCCCCAGAAGCACAAGGACTTAATGCATAACCCGGCAGCTTGGAGCAGAAAAGTGAATGGACTATGCGTTAATCCAGGCCATCAGGTCTGTCCAGAGGGGAAAGGGTGTTGCCCCAGTCGCCTTCTCCTCTCTGGAAAGAAAGATGGCGGCCGCATGGGAGCCTTGTGGACAGCAGGTATGAGCCGGGGGTGTGGGGGCGACTAAAACCTCATGGGAAGGGGGGCGTTTCGGTCCGCCCTTCACGCCCTACCGAGGCCACCAGTTGCCCCCCACTAGCGGCTCTCCAGCACGGCCACGTCTCCAGTGCACAGAAACCAATTTCTTAACTATCTGACTTTCAGTAGAAATACTTCCAGGTTCAATAAGTCAAATAGCAGAAATCCAAATCCAACATTTAATTCTTGAACCCAGCTGTAGAAAGCAAATCACTTCACAATGTTTTTTCAGCATGTCTGATTTGGGGGGGGGGGTAAACTCTAAGTAATAGTGGTGAATCTTTTATTGAAACAATGAATCTAATCAAAGCAGATAGAGTGTTAACTAGAATTCATCTGCCCCACAGGGACTGGGAGGGGTGGGGGGTGGGGTTTTATTGCGGTTCTTCATGGTAAAAAATAAGTTTTGGTAAAGGGAAATGTGTTTGATATTTGCATGACTGAGACCTAAACCTGAAAGCTTTGTAACCTTTCCCACGGTGATTCAATAAAGAAAAAAAAAATAAAAAAAAAAGAAAGAAAGAAAGAAAGAAAATGGGCTTCTCCAGAGTGGAAAGATCAAAGTATACAAAGTATACACACCCAGTCGGTATGTGCAGGCCATTTCCCAAGAATGGGAAAATGTAAAATTACCCTAAAGTAACAATGTACACATCTCAGGAAGAGATATGGACAAATGAGCTTATAGGGTAAAAATCTACACATACTTCACACCATTTTTAAATGCATACCTGTAGGGTAACATTGCTTTGTCCTTCTTCCACAAGAAGCTTATGTTTATCTGGTTACACCCATCACAGTGCTCCTGAGGCACTTCCATTGTGTTTATCTGTAAACAGTCTTCCCTATGCTCTCCTTCCCACCCAGTTAATCAGCTTTCCCCTTAATCAGACTTTGTTAATTTGTAAGATCAGTTTCCCAGAAATCTATGATTTTATATGTATAAGTGAAATATTGCCTTTCTCCTCTCCTTATGCCTTATGAACATTTTACCTTAAAGTAATATCCTTTTTGTATAGATACAGGAAGACCGTTAACATCATGCTTTGTAACTTAGGATTTGATTGGCTTTGAATATTATTCACTCCTGGGCATCTGCTTTCTTGACTTAAGCCTCAGTTGCTCTTAGTTCCAAACACCCCAAAAGCAGGGTCCCGACGAGGGACTGAATGGACCCAGGGCAAGCAGTGAGCTACCCTGGCAGTGAAATGGGCCAGGCCAAAGTGCCACGATTCTTAACTATAAGTTAAGAGTTTGATCATAGACAAATGCTGTCATGATCCAAAGGTAACGACGAGACAAGGATCCTGCTAGAGGTGGGAAAGACTATCTGGCCTGAGCATTGTAGTCTGAGATCGAGATGGCCCTAAGAGAGCAATTCTATAAGTTTAAGATATTTCTTACTATATCCATACAAAATTATTTATATTATATATGCTTATATGCTTGTCAGACAAGGAGAGGAGAGACACACCCTTGGGATTCCACTCTAGGGTGGATCCTCCTGCTGAGAAAGGATCTGTCTTAGGAGCGGCTTTCCCTGAGGCTAAGATTTCTACCCCTATTGATTGTGACCGCACCTATGTGTAATTGTTCCCCCAATTCCTCTTGGAGAGAGATATAATGAGACTGTAGATGGGGTATAGGGGAGCAGAGACAGAGATGAAGAGAGAATCAGAATAAACTACAACTAATACCTACCAGCCTGGCCCTCATAACTTCCTCCGCCTGACCATCGCCATCGACCTCCCCGGGTGGGAGAAGGGTGAGACTACCGAACGCAGGTGGCGGGAGAGATAGAGCCACCGCCGCTGTATGCTGCGCCCCCTTTTGTGTGAGTTTACACACATACCCTGGTCTATGGAATGGTGCTTTTAGTGTCCATGATTTATCCAATGTATGAAACAAATGAAATGTAACCTTTATCACTGCCTTAAGTGCCAAGACATTCAGTAATGAATTAGGACAATCTGATAATAATTACTTTATTTCTATATTTTAACAAAGTCATTTTAATGCAATTGCTTTGCAAAATTACCATTTTCTTCTTTATTTTTCATCATTAATAATCTATAGAGCATAGGGCTGGAGTTTACATTGGATAAGGCATTTTCCTTGCATGTACTCGACCAGGGTTTGGGGATTTCATGTGGTCCCTAGAGCACCTTGAGAGTAACCTTTAAGTACTCCCAGGTGGGACCTAACCCTCCCAAGATAAATAAATAAATAATCTATAATATAGCTATACCCAACCTAATTCCATCCCTAGTCTCTTTGAAATACCGGTAAATTCCCCTTCTCAACTATTATAAAATTTCTTTTATATTACAAGCATATATTACTTTTGTACTAAAAGAGTACTAACAACTCATTGGCACAGTTATATTATTTTTATCACATAAATTTTTCCTAAAAGCTATTATTCTAAAAAACATTTTGTATAATTACATTATGCATATAACTGAGAAAATCAGAAACTCAATTGAGATATCCTTAAAAACATGAACTTAAAATAGGGAATCCAGTTTTTTCTTCTTTTATCTAACTTATTTATTTGCCTGTTCAAATAATTATGATCACAAAATCTATAATATATATTTTCTAGATCTGTGTTATTCAGCATTTATACTTTCTTTTGAAAATCAAAGTTGTCAGTCTCCCCTCCTATACCTCTTAAGATTTTCTCTGTTTATTTTGTGTTGGGGCCACACCCAGAAACTCTCAAATTTACTCTTGACTCTCAGCTCAGAGATCACTCCTTGAGAAGCTTGGAAATGATACATGGTACTTGGGTTAACCATATGCAAGATAAGTACCCTATCAACCTGCTTTACTATCTATCTAGAGACCCCTTGAGATTTTAAATTTCATTCATCAAGGAACTTCACGAGAACTTGTCGTTTTAATTTGCAGTAGAAAAATAACTAGGTTTCCTGTGTTATTATACTGAATATGACAAGTTTTTTTCTGAAGGAGAAAACAATTCATAGTTGCTTTAATGTATCTAATTTTCCTATTCATTTTATTTTCTTTAATATTTAACTATTATAAACTCGTGTGGTACCTAGCACTTCAGCAAGGATGTCTGTTTTGTTCTTTTTATTTTTTTTGGCTTTTTGTGTCACACCCAGAGATGCACAGGGGTTACTCCTGGCTTTGCACTCAGGAATTACTCCTGGCGGTACTCAGGGGACCATATGGAATGCTGGGACTACAACCACACTTGGCCCCATGCAAGGCAAACGTCCTACCTGCTGTGCTATCTCTCCAGTACCTGTTTAGTTATTATTAAGCAATAATATAAATTGAACTTTTAATTAACATGCTATTTTCTAAGCAATATTCTTCATATATAAAACATTAATGGAAAAATGTTTTTCTATTTAAGAAGTATGTCAATGTTATAACTAACAAGAATAACTTAAATATACTGTTTGACTGTTGCTCTAAAATAAAAGCCTTCAAACATGCTTATGGGGATACTTACAGTTATTCCTGAAGGACAGCAATGAATGGTCTATAGATGCTCATGGATATTGGTTAATAACCCTAAAAATAAACATTTAGAAAAATGCAGTCAGAACTTGGGAAGTGAGGTGCTACTTAGTGTAACTTTAAACATCTAAAATGTTTTACTATTTACACAATCGACATACAAGCATCACTAATTTAACATACAAAATCATAATAATATCACTATTACTTAAATGAGACTGACATCCATAGTGCCAGAAAGAAGACCAGTTACATTTACGTAAATTGAATTTAAAAGCACAATAATAGAGCAGGTATTTTCATGTTATTTCTTCAGTTAAGGAAATAATTAAGCAATAGTTAAACATTATAAATTGGCCAACAAAATTATCACTCAAATATGAAGCATAAATATTGCGACATAAAATAATTATAGACCAGGAGTTATTAACTGTTATTTTGCCCACAGATATTAAAAAGATAATAGAAACTGAAAGGGAAAATATTACTTAAAAAAGCAGTGTATTATTTTAGAAATATCAGCTAGAGGCACTTATTTTGGGATGTGAAAACAAAATTAGAAACATTTTGCTATTATTTTGCAGTAGGAAAAATAAATTTTGTATGACATTCATATATATTATATAAGTTATACATAATTTATTTTTGTATTTTTATTTATTTTGTATGCATTTGCAATATATATGTATATATGTACTTTATATTTTGTATATATTTACTTATTTTATTTATATGTTATACAAAATTAATTTTTGTCTAATACATATATGGCTTTGGTTTTGGGCCACATCCTGGAGTGTCTCAGGACAACTCTCTGCTCAGTGCTTAGGGGTCCCAAGGGGGACCACATGGTGCTGGGGGTTGAACTCTGACCTCCTGCATGCAAACCTTGTGCTTCAGACCACTGAGATACCTCTGTTACCCAGAAATAAAATTATTTCTCCAGTTATCTCTTTCACTTGCAGTTTAATTGACAGTTTAATTAAAGCTGGACCTAAAGGGAAACAAACACTTTTTTTCCTCCCCTGCAATGCTGTTTCTTCCATTTAGTCAAGTAAGTGAAGTGGAGTGTCAATATAATGGTAAAGACCATTAAAATGATGAGAAATATATCAGAAATGTCAATTTTATTATTGAAGGTTTTAATGTGTTTTATAAGCTCATAAACATCAACGTAAGTCAACATATTTGAAATATAATATAAAATATTTGTTGCACATTTTGAAACCACAATTTAAATAATTTAATGTGAATATCCCTTTAGTGGGCTGGAGCGATAGCACAGTGGGTAGGGCGTTCGCCCTTACACGCGGCCAACATGGCCGACCCGAGTTCGATTCCTCCGCCCCTCTCGGAGAGCCCGGCAAGCTACCGAGAGTATTCGATATGCCAGACACAGTAACAACAAAGTCTCCAATGGAGACGTTACTGGGCCCGCTCGAGCAAATCGACGATCAACGGGAGGGGCCTTTATCCCTTTAGTAATTAGAGATTAAATGTACTAGAGAGCAAATTGTTATAAATTTAATCCCTATGCCAATAAAAAACAAAGTTATGATTTTAAATTAGTGGAAAACAACCAGGATTAAAACTTTATTATTTTAATATAAATTTTGAAAATACACAATGCTATAAATGAGAATCAGTTTTCTTAATTGTATTACAGTTCCAAATTTTAAGTTTATTTAAATAAATATGGAAGAATATATCATGACTACATTAAGCCTAGATGTTTATGAATTGGCAGAGGAACTATAGTAAATAAAAATTACTTCTTTATGTAAAAGGTTGTAAAAGAGGTTCAACTTAGTAAATTTTAGGAAGCAAAGCTACACAATAACAATTTGGTATAATGATGAGATTCCAGTATGGAGTAATGAGACCCAGTGCTTGCTAAAGAAGCTGGTGATCAAATATTTAGTTGTGCACTAAGAATTATACAGGTAGTAAAGCATGTAATAATTTCAATACACAAAGATGAGTTATTCCACCTGCTGCAATTCCATTTTTTCTGTGCCACCAAAAAATTCAAAACAGATTCAAATTTTGAATTCACTTCACTTCAAAACATATGCTCATAACCACATTACCACATACTTTTTCTGTGTATAGGGAAAAAAAGCTATGAGGGCTATTCTTAACAGTATTGTTTTTAATTTTGAGACTTTAAGTAAGGGAATTAGGGAGAGGTAGTGTTCATTATCTGACAGATGATCAGGATATAGTGTCAACTAAAAGCATCTACTTTAAAAATATCATTTCTAATCATGACTTCATTTTAACAATAAAACAACATTGCATTCATTGATTTAGTTCAATATTAACTATGCTGTCCTTTCCACAGTATCTGGTTCATAGCTCATTTGTTGACTGAATTAATTTATATATGCATAGTTAAGAGGTAAGGAAAGTATACCCAAAGTCTTTACCAGTGTTGATCTGTGAGTTGCAGGATGGGTATAACTTGCTGTGAACTAATTTTGTGATTGTGTCATTTATTTATGAAAGATTTATTTATTGTATGTCTTCTACTTCGTAGAGACTTGCAATAGTTTATAATGAAGCGCCTATGTTTCTTTATAAAAATGAATATTTCAGAACTTAAAAATTACCTTAGGACTTATAAAATAAATGTATTTTTTTTCTAATTTTTAAAAATATTGTAGTGAACATTTCGAAAATTTTAATTTTGAAAAACACTATAATACTTTTAAAAATTAAATTTTCTTGCTTTCTGCTTCATTTTTCCAACTTGCTTCACCTCTCTCCCATAATCATAATATTTTTATACTAATTCTTGCCATCTATCATTCCCTTCCTTTTTTCCTGCTTTATTCTCTCAGCTTTTTATATATAAATTGAGGTTTATTTTATTGCAAATAATTGTCTTTCAAGTGTCTATTATTTTTTAATTTTTAACATATCTTTGATAGGTTTATCTTTTTCATAGACTGGTGACTAGATAGAAAAAATGATTTTGACAAAAGCTTGTTCTACATATTAACTTAGATACCATACAATTCATATGTGTAAACAAAATTATCTCAAAATTCATATAAAATTCAAGTTATAAAGTGAAATGAAGGCTACTTTTGTGATTATTAAAAATATTTTTATTCTATTTCTCCCATAAACTATTATTGTTACTCTGCTTTCAGCCTATCTTGGAAAAAGTTATTTAAAGTGGTAGTTTTAGTTCAAAATTGTGTTTTAAAATTCATTAGGATCCTACAAAGATTTAATGGATAAGTTTGCTGCTTTAATTCTGCTCAGTTGAGATCAGGGAAAGCAGGCATTTTAAAGTGAAATGCCTATCAAAGAATCATCTTGAAAATGCCAGTAGTCGGTTCTCAGCAGAATGAGCAAATGTGGCATTACTAAAGAGCTTAATGTGCTTCCTTAGAATAATCTGAATATTCTATTTTTTTAAAAAGGGGGTCATCAGGATTAAAATATAACCATTTCCAAATTCAGTAGTACCATTATTGTCTACTTTGATATTTTAAATAGCTACTGTAAAGAAGTAAAGTTTACATATATTTAAATGTACCTATTTTTCCCTTTTTTAAACTGATTTTTCATTTAACAATATTCAGAGAGGGTCGGAGTTATCTTACAGTGGATAGGGTGCTTGCCCTGCACGCAATGGACACAGTTTCTATCCCCATCACCCCATATGGTTGGTCCCTGAGTCTGTAGGAGTGATCCCTGAGCAGGGTTAGGAGTAGGCACTGAGCATGGTCCATTGTGGTCTTAAAACAAAATAATAGAGTAAAATATATCGACAAATATGAGATCATTGCATATTAATAGTGTAAGCATTTGTATATCTAAGAATCACAAAAGTCCAGAGTTCAATTGAAAATAGAATTCCAATATCCAAAATTCTGCAAGTGTAAAAAATGTATCAACATTTTGTAGTGATATGAAAACTGGCAGGACAATAAAACAAAAATGTAATATTCTTGCAATATTCTCACAATTATGAAGAAATAAAATAAAAGTAATATTTGGAGGTTTACAAAAATTGAATAAGATACAGTCAAAGGTCAATTTTGTCTGACTGCTTTCTCACATCAGCAATTATTCATTTGGAATAAGTAGTTTTCAAGTAGTTTTTTGGGGGGATCCACACCCAGCAGTGCTCAGTGGATCTCTTCTGGTAGGTCTGCTGCCAGGGATTGAACTCGGGCTGTTGCTTAGAAAGTAATCACCCTTGAAAGCAACCACCCTACTAGCTGTACTATCTATCCAGCCCTTAGTAATTTTCTATGTGAGACAATCCTTTTTAATTATTGATTTTAACACCATACCATATACTCTACAACACTATTCCTCTGGTGAAGAAAAAAAGCCTTAAATGTCTGATAAAACGTCAACTAGGAGAAATTCTATATATATAGACAAAATATATTTAATACTTCATTTTAATGTTTCTATTCACAGTTGATATTCACTAAAATTATCTGTGAGAAGTGTTCTGTGTCTGTTTTTTCAAGCTTATTTCTTCCTCAGCCCTCTTTCTATTTGAATTATGCCAACATACAGACAACAGATGGTTTTCATTAAAATATTTTAAATTTTATGAATTCAGAACTGAGTTTGAGACCAGCGAAATATTCTGTCTGCTCAATAAATTTTGTTAGTATTGAACAGTATTTGGAAACAGGTTTTAAAATAGTATTAGAAAGCAGATGGATATCTGCTTGGTATGCTTTATTTTAAAACCGTTTTAAAAACTATTTAAAACCATCTAACCAAAATATTTACTCAACTAAAAGAGACAAAATTCTTTAAAATGAAAGGGAAAAATCAACACAAAATTTATTGTCGATTTGAAATTATAAGCTAGAAGACAAAATTTTAGTTATAGTGACAGAAAATGGAGCATTGAAATTTATTTTATTTTATTTTAGGGTCAGATAGTGCAGTCTGTTAGGCTCTTGACTTGCAGGCAATCAACCTAGATCCAATTCCTGGCATCACATATGGTCCCTAAGCCCTGCCAGGAGTGAGCACAGATCCAGGATTAAGGTCTGAGCGTAGGTGAGTGT